TTTGCCAGTTTGGGTGGCATTAGGGGCACAAAGAGCCTTCTGATATAGTGTGGCAGCTCCTCCAAGCCTATAGTTTCAGGGATGCTCCTAAATTTCAGATTATAGTGTCTTCTTTGGTTTTCTAGTGTCTCTATCCAAGCCTCTGTGTCCCGTATAGCTTGCTGGATCTCCTCCAGCCTTTGCTCTACAGTAGCCAGCCTTGAGTCCTGGACACTAGTCGTAGTCTCCAGATAGTAATTCTTGTGGTAGCATTTTTTTATGGCTGCCTTAAATTGAGGGATGTCTGCTGCATTCTCTCAGCATGGTTTCAAGAAAAGCTGCAGTAATCGGCTCCAGATCATCAGCAGCCAAGGCAGGTTTCACCCCAGGCGCTTTACTGAAAGATGCACCTGTCTCTAGTTCCGCGGTGAAGACCTCTGATAAGTAGGCGGACACGTCATCTTGTGGCGCCATATTGGGGCATGCGGACTGTTGCGAGCACCTATGTAGGTCGCTGATATCTCGGCTGGTGGGTACCTTGTCTGACCTGGATATTTTAGTCGGTTTTGAGTACCGGTCAGAGAGTGTGTTCCTACCCCGTCCGGGTCAGAATTTTAGCATTGATTTACAGTTTTCTGTAATAGTACCATATCAAGTATACGTAACCAATCATTTAACTCTGTAGTACTTAATCCATCAGTGATAACAGTGTATAGTTGTAATCCAAAATATATAAATACATTTTAAAAAGTATAAAAAAAATAGCATTAGAAACCATGTCTTAAAGTGTTAAATTAAATTAATAAATAAAGGAACTTTGAATAATAAAGCAGAAAAATGTTTAAAGGCAAAGTATTTTTTCAAAGTTCCACAAGACGTCAAGTATGTTTCATATTTACATAAACAGTAAAGTTGTTTTAATCTTTATTCTTCATGCAGTTTTTTTTTTAATTAAAAAGGACATTCCTTTTCATGATACAGATAGTATAGATATTTATGTAGATGCATTTAATATTTCTTAGAACAGAATTGATCACCTCCCAGTCTCTTAAAATTAATGTTTAATTACACCTTAGAAGACTTAGAACTGTGTTGTCTTTGATCTAATGAAATCCAATTTATAAAAGTAGACGGTCTTGCTAAATAGAAATCAAATACATAATTATAAACTTATTTCTTTGCATCGTCTTTTTAAATTTAATTGTAAAATATTTCTGTCTGTGCTAAGTAAACTAGACATATTATTATTAGCATTTAATCACATAATTACTGAATTCCAAAAATCCATCTGTGTCCTCCTGGCCAACACTTTTCACACAATTTTACAATTTCCTAAATACATAAAATTAAACAAAAAACTTTGACTATCTCTGTCAAATGTACTATATACTAAACGTTAAAGAAAGGATACAATCTAAATTACAAAGGTAAGTGAAGAGAAGGTGGTGAGAAAGTTCAGATGATGCACCCCTAACTGTTGTATGTCTGAGCCACTGGTGGTAATCACCCTTCCAAGATTAATAAACTAGGTACCATTAAG